GGTGAAGGAATGCTGCGTTTGGATCTATTTGCAACTAAACATTCACACTATCATGATTTCAATTTCTGGGAACTGCGGATGAGGATAAATGAATTATTGATAAGTTTATAGGAACACTGTCGGCGTGGATTAGACAATTCTATCCCGATCTTGTCGCAGGTGCTTTTGCCAGTTCAGCACCTATTGAAGCTAAGGTGGACTTCTATGGTAAACTTTTCGAACACTTTTCTTCAGTATTACTGGAAATCACTTCTTCAGTATTCTTCAGTATAACACTTTCACTTTTTTCAGTGCTCTTAATTCATTCAATCGAACAAAACAACCTTTGAAGGATGCTGATATGTTGAGGTCGAAAACTATCGAAATGAATGTTACGATCTGAATGTTTTTAGTGAACTGAAGAAGTGATTTTCTAACTGAATTTGATAGTTTATTTCCGATCGCAGATAGCATAGGAAATAATTACGGCTTGTTGCTGCAAAAGATTTGAATTAATACTGATTAAAAAAGTATTTGGAATTTTATCTGTTTTTCAGCCATTTTTCATAATTTGTTGAAAAGTTTGCTGCGACAGAAGGCGTTGAAACTCATGAAGTTTAGGATATGAACTGCAGTGTCAGAATTCAATTCGAATGTTTGATGAAAATTGTGCAAGTAATATTGGTTTTGCATTCAACAATATGCATCTGTGGTCTTTAACTGCTGCTGGTCATCAATCGTTATCGCAGACGTTTTCGTATGTCTCCCAGTACTTTGCATGAACCTTTACAAGGATATTATCAGAATCGCTTCGAGATGTTGTCTGAATATTTTCATCAAAATGCGAGTGTTTGTGAACACACATATACGTTCACATATATGATCATTGCACCAATTTGCCAAAACGAATGCAAACTTTAGACTGCAACCATCCTGGGATAACACAACCAATATAACCGATAAAGATATGCAGTATTTCTTCGACAGTTTGATTGCTATGCTCGATGGGAATGTGCAATACAACGGCATTGTTCCGGTAAGATGTGGTTGCGATTTTCCAGATTGTTGTTCATGAAGATCAATTTGTGGTTAGGAATAGCTGTTGTTAGGAATAGCTGCTCAACATCTATAGCAGATTTTGCGGTGGATCGGCAATACAACGGCATTGTTCCGGTAAGATGTGGTTGCGATTTTCCAGATTATTGTTTATGAAGATCAATTTGTGGTTAGGATTAGCTGCTCAACATCTATAGCAGATTTTGCGATGGATCGAAGGATGGCATTTGATAATTTAACTTCATTTTTGCCAATTTCTCACCAGCGTTGTTCAAGCAGCACTTAATCGGAATGCAATAATGTGTGTGATGCCCTTTGGCATACCGTGAGAAGTGCTGTATCCGTTGTGCAATCGCTACTTTGAGTAGGAAGATATGAATGTGTGTTGTACTGATAGTTCGGATGAATGCGTTGCGAGGAGAGAATAAAGTCGAAGAAGAGAAGGGGGAAATCAGGGACGGGAAATTTTGGAGGAAAACTCAAACTCTTTTCCGTCCTCGATCCTCGAATTTCCCCCAGAAACGGAACTTTTGAACTGGAGTCAGTAGGGTTTTGAAAAGAGCAATTTTTGACTGAAGCGCGTCGAAATAAGCAATCCTTAAGATGGAATAGAGATAACCGCTAGGTCACAACGCAATTTTCGCAATAATATGAAAATAAACAATGCATAATATTTGACACCAAAAACTGAAAAACATTCCGAAATGACGTACATTACAAACACCAAATATGAGAGTATTTTAACAATTGAAAAATAAGCA